ATCTAAAGTTAGCGAGCTAGCCCACCTGTCTGTAGCTGCCGGTTGCCAGTTGCTCATTAGCCACGCCCACACTCTCAGATAGGGCTGATCATCAGTTTTTAAAATTTATCACATTTCTATCTCCTATTTTTCATTCAAGCTTTGCTGGATGTTTAATGTAACACTCAAGTTTCATATCATACAAACATTTGTAATACTTTACTCTCTTCCCTGTGACTTTAAGATACATAGTTGGACCTTAAAACCACTGGTGTACATTTGAAGGTACATTTACATTGTTTGTACCTTGATGAATGAACAATGCACCTTTTTCTGACAGTGTACCTACATTTGAAAGCTCGAATGTGAGAAAAGCATATAAAATCTATTATGTAATGGGGTAAGTTTGACATTACAGCCTCAAACACAAGAAGATTTGCCACTGTTGCTGATGTCTTATCTGTTATGTTTGTATTTACTGTAAACTACCGTGCTGACTGGATGTGACTTTTCCACCCGGAAGTATCGATAACCTTTAAGACTACGAACACTCAGATTTGCTCTGCAGTGCAGCGTAGAGAGGAAATGAGGTGCCAGTGCTGAAAAAGATGAAAAGCTCTCGACTGAGTGACTTTTGTGGTTTCTGACGTTTCTGTGTGTTTGTGTGTGTGTTGAGCATGTATTTTTCAACATTTGATATTTACTCTTTATTTACTCTTTGCACAGCGTCCCAACTTTTTTGGAAACAGTGTTGTACAACACATTCTCCATCAATCTGAAGAACCATTTAACCATGCAAAGACACATTTAAACATGCAGATTATAAAGCCATTGCCTTTACTAAAGAAGCTTAAAGGACTATTCTTGTTTAGGATCATATGGAATGGGCTTCAAACACTTATCCCCTAAATGGCCAGGGCCCACCGGCTGACACAAAGTTTTATTACACACTTCCATAATCTAAGAATAGCTTAGCCAGTTTGCATTGAAGTCATTGTAGTTACTGAATAATAAGCCTTAGTATGTAATAGGCCTGGAATTTAAGGGGTTAAACAAGTGCTGGCACTCTTCACTGAGTTATAAAGCCTTAACTGTAGCACAGCTGTGTGACTAATCAAGTGGTATTGATAGCACTTGTGGTTATGGCAACTGTGTGTTTTTAATCTTTTTACGCTACACATGTTTTTTTATGTCTGCAGCCATGCTACAGTACAGACTTTTTAATTCAATGAGGAGTGACATGGATATTCACTTGTTTTCAACTTGAGATTGTACATTTTATAATTAAATAGATGCCTTTTTCAATGTATGTCTTAATATTTCCACTTTAATTTAATAAACTGTGACAAAAGACAATTTACAGCAAAATACAAACAGTGGAAATGTTAGTTTTGTTCATCAACTAAATAAGATTTTAGCAAGACGGCCAAAAACATTGTCCTAACTGGCATGTAATATTAATGTCGGTAAATGTGACCTCATCATTTGACCAGAATAGAAGTTAAGGTGTGAAAAACAGCTGGGTCAGTTTTAAATATCACTGGTAATTCTTTTGTTTCTGAGTGGTGCACTGCATGTATAAAGCCATATAGGCTACACTCAGGGAGCTCTTTTTAGGAACACTGCTCTAAGGCTGGGTAGGGCCTCCTTTGCTTTCATCACAGCCTCAATTCTTCAGGCTGTTAGAGACATTCCTTGGAGATTTTGGTTCATGTTGATATGAAGGCATCATGCAGTCCCTGCACTTGCTGTGAATCTCCTGTACTACCACATCCCAATTTTGTTCTACTGGATTCAGATCCAGTGACTGGGAAAGCCACTGAAGAAGTCATGTTCATAATAACAGTTTGAGAGACTTTTGCTTTGTGGCATGGTGCATTATCATGCTGGACAAAGCCATTAGAAGATGGTTAATTGTGGTCATGAACAGATGAACAAGGTCAGCAACAGTACTCAAACAGGCTGCATTCAAGCGATGATTGACTGGAATTAACAAACCCAAAGTGTGCTGAGAAAACATTCCCCACACCGTTACACCATCTCCACCAGCCTGGACTGTTCACACAAGGTATTAAATTCTAACCCTACCATCTGAGTGATTTATCACACCAGGCTATGTTTTTCCAGTTCTCAACTGTCCAGTTTTCGTGAGCCTGTGCCCACTGTAGCTTTCTGTTATTTGCTGACAGAAGTGGAGCCTGACGTGGTCTTCTGCTGTTGTAGCCCATCTGCCTCAAGGTTCGACGTAGTGTAGTGGATTCTGAGATGCTTTTCTGCTCGTCACAATTGTACAGAGTGGTCATATGAGTTACAGTAGTCTTTCTGTCAGCTCGAACCAGTCTAGCCATTCTCCACTGACTTCTCTCATCGACAAGGCATGTCCATCTGCAGAATTGCTACTCACTGGATATTTGTTCTTTAATGCTCTTTTCCAAGTAACTCTAGAGACTCTGTGTGTGTGAAAATCGCAGGAGATCAGCAGATATTGAAATGCTCAAACCAGCCCATCTGGCACCAACAGTCATGCCACAGTCGAATCACTGAGATCACATTTTTTCTCATTCTGATGGTTGGTGTTCCTAATAAAGTGCTCTGTGAGTGTACACTACAATAAAAGCCAAGATAGCAGTACTCTTTTGTTCTTTTTTTATTCTTTTATTTGGACAGAACATTGAATAAATCAGTACAAATGTAAATTTATCAAATTTAAAAATGTAATTTTATATAGAAAAAAAAACTGGAACACACTTATTATCATACACTGTAAAAATGATTTGTTGTTTGAAGTCAGAAGGTAATATTTTGGTGTTATTTTGGTGTTATTCAATTCAATTCAATGAAAATTGAATAGTAATTTTACTAGAACAAATATACTGATCATAACAGATCAGAACAATTTATAAGTATCTGACAAAACATTTCTGAGGAAAAAATGTAAAAAAAAAAAATCACAGTGTATCTTTACACCAAAAGTCTAACACAGTACATTCGGATACAGGCCCATACTAAAGAGTAATATACTGAAATATGTTTATATTGTAAGGTATAAGGTAAAGTGCTGCATTGAATTTACTTTCATTCAAATATGTTCATCATTTAAGACGTATCACATCAATTCTTAAAACAATTAGCTATATATATATATATATATATATATATATATAGCTCACTACTTGTATAACAATTGGATGGTGAGTTATTAAAAAGAGCTGGTGTTTAAAAAATAGTTTTCTGGCAGGTTATGAAACAATTAGTTGCCAAGTTATAAACAAAATTAGCAATTTTTTGTTACAAATTTGCAAGTGTGTTATGTTAGTTGTTAGTTTGCTATTTATAAAATAGTTAGCAGATAAGTTCAAAATAACACTAGCTACTGATTTTTACAACAGTTAGTTAAAACAGTGAGCTCCTGGGTTATAAGACTTTTGTTATAAACAGATGCTACATTGTTACCTCTGCTGCTACTGTCCGGCGAGGAGTCATCACACTATCATCACACACGACAGCTGGAAAAATTACAGAACAGCAATAAACTGTACAACTTTGTATTTTCAGCCTTCATGTTGTTTCTGTAGACGTTTGCAGACACGCTAACACTCTAAATGTGCATGCTTTGTAGCGCAGCTAGCTAGTGATGACATGATACTGGTACACATATTAGATAGCAGTGTTAGCCGCTAGGCTAAGTGCTGCTGTACACTGCCAACAGTTTTGTTTCTGCTAAATCTCTGTGCTTGTGCCTCGTCTCACGCAGCCTTTCACTGTTTTAGCTTATAATAACAATACACTCGATACGAGGGACCATCAAGGAACAGTGTGTTTTCCTTTGAATGGGTTTTCCTTTGAATTACAGTTGCATGAGTCCCTTTAACCACTTTCTGCGGTGGCCATTCTGCCAAAAAACTCTGACCTAATGAAACAGAGTATTTTTCATTCGCTATTAGATTTGCTCACAAAAATCCAGTTTTCTTCCAGTTCTGTAAATCAATCACATTTCCAACAAACTGTATTCCATCAGCATTATTTAAAAATACATATATATAGGCTAGTGCATAAAAATAGCTCCAAAACATGTGAAAACTGTATTTTATGGCTACTGCAAAAGAAAGAGCTGTTTTTTTCAGTGCACCTTCCTTCAAGCACTGAAGTCTTTATCTGTGTTATAAAGAATATGACAGCTTTGAGTCCTGCTTTATTTAGATAGCTCCCTATAGATTATCAACAAAGGCTCAAACTATTAACAAACAACAAAACTAGGGTCCGGATTAGGGGTCGGGTTCAGAGTTTGGGAAAAGTTATAGAAAGAACAGATATTTAGTTGAATATAACACAAGTGTAAGATAGGCACCTTCGAAGCACACACCATGAGCTTTGGTTTAAAGTTTTTAACATAGTTTTATATTAACATTTATATAAACATTTTTTTTATTTGTTTAACCATAATAATTCAGTCACTTCTCTATTGAGTGCTGCAACATGTCAAAATAAAAGCCCCTCTCAACTAATCGTGCAATGCATCTGTTGCACAAATGACTATTTCAGCTTTTTACATTTTTATCAATTCAATATCATAAAGGCTAAAAAGTTTAAAGATTTCAAGTTTTGGGTGATTTTAAGACAATAAGGTGATAGGATGTTTACAGTGTTCGAATTTTGAACAATTATACAGGGTACCTCATTTTAAAGATCCTTAATTATCCAAATGTCTTAAAACATATACAGTCATACCGTTTGGTCAAATTCCATGTTTTTTGTTGAATTTGTAAGGTAAATAAGTTTCACATCCTCTACAGAGAACACACTTCTGCACATTCTAATGCACAATTACTGTTTACTTACTGAATTTAACATATTGGGGAAAAATAACACAGAAAATGTGACCTGTGCAAAAGTTCTTGAACATTTTGTATTTTATGTTTTTTGACTATGTTAAACTCTAAACCTGCACTAAAATTGACATATTTAAGTGTCCTGTAGAGGATGTGGAAACTTACTTTCACTTCAATAATCAACAAAACACATCACTGGGGAGGGAAAGTGGGATCAACGCGCGCATACGGGGTTTCAGCAAGTGGTTTGTGTGCGTGTCTGGTGCTGGTCTGGTACGCGGGGTTGATGAGTATGTGTGCAGCAGGAGGACAGCGTCCCCGCATGTCCTCATACACTCCGTCTGCAGCATTGCGAGGGGGTGAAAAGTTTCCACGCTCACAGCATTGCTTCATCTGTGGAGAAAACACACACAAAACTCTCACACTTAAACTCAAAAACACCAGAAAAATACACACACACACACAAAACATCTATGTGGATTTCCCCTCCACTGACTGACACCAGCTTAGAGGAAAACAGCCTGCGCTCACTTTCAGAAATGTGTTAAAGAAAACATGACACACACAGGCCGTTTACAGCCAGTCTAAGTGTTTTTACCAAAAACGTCCACTTTACGTTCCAGCATTTTTTTTTTATTCCTCATGTTTATCATTTTACAAAGTCAATGTCGCTTCAGGCCTGTAGTGATGTCCTCCTGCTAGTCTAGCTTGTCTCTGCCCTGCTGAGCACATCAGTTTGTTTCTTTTTTCTTGTAGCAAAAGTCTTTCTGCATCCAAAAATATCCGTGACAGTTTCAATGTTCTAAAAAGCTCAGTCGTTCAAAGTGCTGCCACATCAGAGGGCTTTCCTGTACCGCTGCGCATCTGAACCACATCAGCTGATTCCTCTCTAACGTTCCCGGCAAAGCTGCTGTTTGTGTATTGTTAAATGCCATCAAACACTGCCAGGCCTTTTGTAACCAGTATGTATTGTTAAATTACATCAAACACTACAAGTCCTTGCACAACCAGTACAAATTGCTAGATACTATCAAACACTGCTTGGCCTTCTACATCCAGTACTTATTGTTAAATACTATTAAACATTGCTTGGCTTTCTTCATCCAGTCTCAATTGTTAAATACCATCAAACACTGCTAGGCCTTTTATATCCAGTATGTATTGTTAAATACAGGCCTTCTAAAACCAGTATGTACTGCAAAATACCATCAAACACTGTTAGGCCTTGTACATCCAGTATGTATTGCAAAGTGCCATCAATCACAGCTAGGCATTCTACACCCAGTATGTATTGTAAAAAACACTGCAAGGCCTTCTACATCCAGTATGTATTGTTTAATGCCATCAAACACTGCTAGGCTTTTTACACCCAGTATGTATTGTTTAATACCACCAAACCTCTCTAGGCCTTCCAAAACCAGTATGTATTGCAAACTACCATCAAACACTGCTAGGCCTTCTACATCCAGTATGTATTGTTAAATACCATCAAACACTGCTTGGCCTTCTACATCCAGTATGTATTGTTAAATACCATCAAACACTGCTAGGCCTTCTACATCCAGTATGTATTGTTAAATACCATCAAACACTGCTTGGACTTCTACATCCAGTATGTATTGTTAAATGCCATGGAACACTGCTAGGCTTTCTACATCCAGTATGTATTGTCTGAAACACTGCAAGGCCTTGTACATCCAGTATGTATTGTTAAATGCCATCAAACACTGCTAGGCTTTTTTACAGCCAGTATGTGTTGTTAAATACTATCAAACACTGCTAGGCCTTCTACATCCAGTATGTATTGTTATATAACATCAAACACTGTAAAGCCTTTTACATCCAGTATGTATTGTTAAATACTATCAAACACTATTAGGCCTTCTACACCTGGAATGTATTGTTAAACGACATGAAACACTGCTGAGGCTTGTGTGGGAGATATACAGACCCTCGGTATTAACCACAGCAGAATGATGGTGGCAAACATCATAAGAAAAGCTGCTCCAACACAAACGATGATCAGAGCCAGCGTGGTGTTCTCCTCCGTCTTTTCTTCTTTTTCACACTCCTTTTCTTTTCCTGTAGCAAAGAACACACACACTGGTCAGTTCAGCCAGAGCAAACAGGCTGATAAGCTAATAACAGTGTTATCTATTGTTCTAATCAATTAACACATTGATTAATTAATTCAGTTAATTCAAATATGCAAAAATATTACTTGAGGAATATATTTGTCATGCAACATGTACTATTTTCCTAGCTATACAGATCAATGAAACAATAAACCAATAAATAAATCAATCAATGCAGGTAGATAGTCGGGGAGAGTGGGGCACAAACGCATTTTGTTTTTTGTTAAATGATTCCAGAACTATTTGAGGAAGATTAATAATTTGAATATCTCTGCCACAAATAAAAAACCCAAGCTTTGCAGCTTCTGCTGTTTATAAACAATTCAGGCGAAAGTAGAGGGAGCGGAAATGTGGCGGCTTACCCAATGGGTGGGGTTACCTTTAACAAACAAGTTACTTATTGTAACTTAGTGTTACTGTATTGTATGTCTTATTGTACATTCAGTACAGTTCTGTGTTGTTCGAACCGGACAAGCTTTCCAACCTACATACAAAAACACATTGATCAAAATAGAAATCATTCGTGAAAAGTGTCAAATGTGGCAAATTTGTTTCTGACCACAAAGTAGAACTGCAAAGGTCAGCTGTATCTGCTATGAATGTGTATGTGGGGATATGTAGTTCTAATTGCTTACTTTGGGGCTTTTAGTTGTAACAGTGTGGAGGCTGTACTTTAGCGTGCCAAGCTCTCACTGAGTGTGTTTACATGCACTTAATAATCCGATAAATGCAGAAAATCAGATTATGTCAGTAATCCGATCAACATGTTTACATGCACTTGAGTAATCAGATAATGGGAAACTAAGGGTCTACATGAGTCAGGCAGTGATCAGATTTCTGCTTTGCTACCAGCCAATAAACTCAAAAAGGAAGACATGACGCAGACGTAACGTAAACTCAAACTCAGTGCCGCAGCTTTAAAACAAACATCGCGCCACTTTACCTGAAAATATGAACATATATCATCTAGAAGATGAAGAATTTTTAAATTCTTCATTTCGTCAAGCATGTAGTTTGTTTCAGAGTCACTCCAAAAATGTTTCACTGCGTCTCACGGTAGCGCTTCTTGCTTATTTCTGGTACCGCAGTCTGTTCTTGCACATGCGTGGACAGAAAAATCCGAAAGCGATTTGAGTAAGAGTTCAAAAGCACTAAGAAATCTGATTACTGAGCTAAAATCCAGCTCTCTTCATCGGATTTCTTAATGAATAATCAGATAACTGCTGAAATCCGATTGTGATTGGATTATAGAGTGCATGTAAACACACTCATTGTGAGCTGTTTTTCTGCTTTTAAATGCTGCTATATTACACACACCAAGAGGACATTTCAGTTGAATATAATTCGACAGCAGGCTAGTGTCACTGCTAAGTTGAGAGCAGTATGCCACCCAAAAATATCCAGCCAAGAGCAGCTCCGTGGTCAGAAACTGACCTCTAATTAGGATCAAGAGTGTTGCTAACACAAACTCAACAGATGAGCTACAGTCTATAACTGTACACCAGCTTATAGTCTATAACTGTACATCTGATAAAGTGTCCACAGGAACATTCTATGAAACTCAAGCTTGGCTTTATAAGGTAATCTAATGTAGGGGCAGTTCTTTTTCACTCTAAAGTTCCTTTAATGTATTTATAGGATGCGTAAAAACAGAGACAACTCGAGGCCTGTTTTGGGTTCTGATTAACCCTAATCTTTCTGGATTACTCCAACAAAATGAGACGCTAAAGGCCAGTAATAACTTTCTTAATAATGCACAGACAGATATTTTACTGTTTTCTCCATCATGTTATGGAAGTAAAGACAGAGCGACTGTGCTTACCTGTCACCACCAACAGAGTCCTCTGCTTGCTTTCACTGTTGAGGTCCTCTTTATTAAACACACACCAATAAACTCCAGTGTCCTGTGTGGTCACATTTAAGATGGACACAGCGAAGGTCTCCAGTTTTGCGTTTGTCTCTAAGCGGCCTTTGAAACCATCTCTGGGGCTGAAACTGCCATCTTTATACAAGTAGGTCATTGTCTTTCTATTTGTGTCCAGCTGTTGATACATGTAAACTCCATCTTGTGCAGGGTTCGAAGGGGTGCAGTGGACAGTAGCCTTCTCACCAACATGTGCAGATAAAAACACATATTTTTCTAATGAAAGAAAAAAAAAATTAAATATCAGAAACTCACAACAGTGCTGTACACCCTTTTATAAGACTTTTCAAAATGGCTACCCACCTGACATTCCCATTTTAGCAGGTGCTACTATGGACACATATTTTAACGTTTGACCTTAAGCGGAAGTTTTGCAAGCTTTTTTCAAATTAAATCTATTTATTTATATATATATATATATATAATGGATTTCTAAACTTTTTCTCAGATTATACCATTTGACAGTGATACCTGAATGAACTTTGCTGTATCATAATGTCTGTTTCCTTTGTTTTCTTTAAATGTTAAAGTTTTGTGTGTAAATTTGCAGACAGTCATTTACAGAAAGAAGAGTCACTATTGATCCACTGAGCATTGACGGCATCAAACAGCTGAAAACATTGCAGAGCTAGTTTGTGTTTGTGAAACCAAATATTCTCTATAGGGTTCTAATCTGGACTCTGACCAACCAAATCATCAGTAACAACCATTGTACTTTGAGCTTGGCCCATTTTTTTTCTTCATGGGAGAGATATCATTCTGTTAGTCATCACTAACAAGAGGTGTGAGTCTTGTGGACATTCTTAAAACCACACAGCATCTCACAGCTAGAGCAGCTTCTCACCACAGGACAGCATTAGTCACCATACATTAGACATAAACCGGATGTATGAAAAAATGGTACATGGTGGCATAAAACTCTCTAAAAATCATAGCATTTCAAATGTGAACTATACATGTACGATTAGCATCAGTGGAAGAACAGTTCTACTGCTACAGTCTCTCTTAACAGTAAACTGTTTCAGTGCTGGGGACAATTTCATATTTATTCAAATTGTAGTTGATTTTGTTTGTGTTGCAAAAAAGTACAAAGTTCAGGGAAAATCTACTGTAAAAATGAAAGCCGTCACAACACACAAACTAATTTAAGGTAATTTCTTAAACAGCTGAATCTCATCTGGAGGGCACCAGAGTTCACCCAACTCAAACTTCGGTCAAAAGTAACTCAAATATTTTAGCATTTCTTGCTAATTGGGATTCAATCCCACCAGAAATTTACTCCTATTAGGCTCCCACTTATGGATGGCTGTGGCATCACTTTGGTTCAAACTCAGCTCCTAATATTGGGGGGTGAACACTTAGACGATTGCACCACGTCATTATTTTAGAGGCTCCCAAGTGGTGCAATCCTACAAGCATTCACCCCAACATCCTAAACAATGTTGGAGGAATTAAACAAAAAAGTAATCCATTACAAGCTACCAATAACCTCAAAATGTAATGAGATTACGGATTACTTCTTGGAAAAATAATAAATGCTGACACTGTACGAAAATGCACCATCTGATTAGCATGATGTGATTCACACAATCCCACCAGGAATTTACTCCTCTTAGGTTCCCACTTACGGATGGCTGTAGCATCACTGGGGTTCAAACACACAAGCTCCTGATGTTGCTTAAATGGTACAGATATGATTACACACACCCTGCTCACACTGCACGTGAAACACAGCCCCAGCAGACAGTTCTGTCTACGGACAGTTTCCAATAAAGGGATGTCATTCACAACAACAGGTTGCATGCGTGAGTATCAAGCAAAAACATTGGCTGAATCTCAAATGGCTCCCTGCTCTATACATAGTGCACTACATAGGAATTAAAATAGTGGCTCCTGCTCACAAACAGAGCATTGTATGTCCACTAAATAGGCATTTGTGTTCACAGCTCCACACTGGACAAATAGTGCAGTATTGAGTGTAGAAGCTAGACTTTATATCTTACATTGCGCACTATGTAGGAATATAAAAGAGCCGTTTTGAGAGTCAATCACTGACAAACTGCGCTACAGCAACTTTGCTAACGTGGACCACACTGTGGCTGAAATTAAAACCAGGCGTTGACATACATGGTAGGACAGTATAGTCTCTCTAGAGCCTATTTTACAAATACAATTAAAAAGGATTTGCATATTAACATTTATGCCTCGCAATTCTATTCAGTCCAAAAGAATAAAGTTTTGAACTTTGACACTGCAAAGGGTTGACTTACTGCCTTGTGTTTGTTAACCTTCATGTAGGCCTGTCATAATTATTACATAATTGCCTAATTAGTCATTTTCCACAGTCATTACATTTAGACATATTATGCTCCAACAAACAAAAATTTGAACTGGGTTTGGTGAGATATGACGAATAAATGTAAATAAAAGAAAGCAGTAAGTAAAACATCATGAGGATTATGAAAACAAAAAAAAGGTCCTAATTTATAACTTGATGCTCTACCATGTTTAGAAGGTAGCGCTGAGTAACGTTTGTTTATTTGTTAACTATCTAAATAAGAGTAATGTTTTTAGCATGCGTGCTGGCAGAATGAGTGTTTATTTTTTTGCTTATCGCTGTTGTCGGAAGAAAACCTTGTAGGTCCAAAATAATAATTTTACAGGGGAAGAAAAAACCTACTTTACTTTTAATGTAAGTCAATGGAACCAGACTTTTTTCCAAGTCATTTTGGGCCATTTCTTTTGGTTTATTCTTCAAGAAATTTACACACAATGTAAAAGACAACAGGCATTTTCAAATGATGTCAAAAACTGAAAAACGATAGAAAAAAGACACAAGGTTTTCTTCCGACAGCAGTGATATATTTTCACTCTCATGAAGAACTGTAATTGTAAGTACAAGTAACTGAAGATATTTCTGTGAGTGTGCATGCAGTATTGATTCAACAGTACTTAATAAAGACCGTTCTTTAAGGGTTCTTTAGTAAAGAAAATGCTTCTATATAGCACCATGAACAATCAACAAACCCTTTGCATGATTAAAGGGTTCTTTGCATTAAAGCGTTCTTCAGATTGATGGAGAATGTGCTGTGAATGGTTCTATTTAGAACCTTTTGAAAAGTGTTCTATATTGCACCAAAAGGGGTTCTCCCATTGTTATGATGCCAAGCCTGTAGATCCATTTACTTTACTAAAGAACCCTCGAAGAACTATCTTTATTATGTGTAAGTAAGCACGGCTGGCAAGTAAAGAGGCTAATCAGGCAATTAGGGTTGTATTTTAATACCTGCAGTCAATGAACAAGTTAAGGCAAATTGTGATTATTAATATGACAATCATCAACTAAAATGTCACTATTGTGACAGCTCCACCTGCGGATGTTCACCTGCATCGGGGCAGTGGTTGTGATTGTGCATGTGTTTGCGTGTGTGTGTGTGGTTTGGGTGCGACTTTAAGAAGTCAGGTGTGACGGTACATGTCCACTTGCCACCTCGCTTCTCTGCACCCTTTTCGTGTCAGTGAAGAGCGCTGCCTCATCGCGTGGTTTTGCGGTGCAGAGAATCTGCCTTGTGACAAAAATGTTCAGAAGAATTTATTCTTATACAATTAAATGTGCTGCCACACTGCGTTTGGTCAATCAGATAACGATAGACTGATCTTTATCACAAATGGCAGCTTTCTCCAAGAGTAGAGCAAAAACTACAGCTCTCTTAATGAAAATATCTGCTTTCATACAGAACTGTGGACAGTGAGGATTTGGAGAGAGAGAGAGAGTTTGAGTGGATGAAGTCTTGTATGAGTGTAATCAGACGAATAGACAGATTGTTGAGTTCATGGAGTGTCCCGCACTCACGCTGCTCACCTTCACAATCAGAGTCATGCAGTCAGCCCACACACACGGCAATTACACACAAGCACACGCAGAATGTACACAGAGGAAATTTATGATTTAAGCGCATCATAGTTGACATACTTTGCTCTCTCAAAGATGTACAAGTAATGCAATTCTTATTAAGTCAGAAACTGACTTTCAAAATATTACAACACTTACAAATCATTAAACTGTAATGTGTCACACTGCTTCATTAGAGGAAAAAAGAATTATTACACTCTGCCTCAATCGTTCTAACAGTTTACGGTTTATTATATAATCCCAGGGTAGAGGTTTGTGATTTGGCAAAATGACATACCATGATACTTCAGTAATTTTTGTATCATATACAATATTTATTTTTCAGAAATCTGAAAAGTTAGAACAGGCAAAGAAAGCCCACGTTGTGAAAATACTATCAGAAACTATGAACCCCTTAAAATCCCAGGCTTAGTACATACTACAGCTTCTTATTCAGTAACTACATGGACTTCAGGGGTATTTCATTTATTGAATTTGAATTTTTTACTCACATATGCAGTTGCAATGTGTTTTTAAGTACTGCTGATACACACGATAAGCTCAGAAAAGCATATTGTGACATATTGTGATGTAGTTTGTCACATTAATGATAAATATTGTCCTATTGTTCAGTTCTACACTCTTAAAATGATGGTTTTTCAAGGGTTCCTTAGTAAAGAAAATGTTTCTATATGGAACCATGAACACTTAAAGGAACTTTTGCATGATTAACAGGTTCTTTGCATGATGAAATAGTTCTTCAGATTGATGGAAAATGTGCTATAGATGGTTCTATGTAGAACTCTTTTGAAAAGGGTTCTATTTAGGACCAAAAACAGTTCTTCTATTACAGCAATGTCAAGCTTTTGGTGCTATATAGAATCATTTTCTTTACTAAAGAATCCTTGAAGAACTATCTTTTTTGTGTGTGCCCCAGGCTTCATTGCAGTGTTAATAGAACCGTTTATGAAAAATTGTGCAGTAATTTAGTTATTGAACTCGTCACTATTTAAATGGTTCCTCAGGGTGACTTTGCTAAAGGAGTAATGCTTTACTGTTATTCATTTTAAGACATATGATATACAATGTGTTCAAAATGTATTATTATTATTATTATTATTACATATACATATATCAACATTCAAACAACATCATATCACTCTGTTGCTGGTTTTAATCACTTTTTCTCATTGATATTAACTTAATAATAAATGTATTTACACAGTAAAAATGGCTCATCAGTTCAACCTAAAAAATTACTTCATGTGGTAACAAGGAACTGAACTAGTTTAATTCAACCCAAAAATTACTTTGATCTAAATAATCCTTCACCCAAAGTATTTATTTCAATGCATTAAAATAAATGAAATAAAACTAATTTAATTGCTTGTTACCACATGAGGTAATGTTTTTAGGTTGAACTGATGAACCATTTTTACAGTGTGGGTCAGTTGTGCTGTATCAGAGAAATTCAGTCAGTTGTCAGCTTTACTTCATTAGTGTTTGTTTGGTCAGTGTGATCTTGTTGAGTAAAATACAACCTTTCCCACAGGCTTTTTGTCACTATATTTGCATATTGCTTTACCTGTTTGACTCATCTTGTAAGTGTTTTTCCCCTGACCTACCTTCCACTGTGTGTACATCTTTCTTGTACCACACGGTTAACCACCGAGCCACAGTGATGATGGCTGAAAAGGTGAGTTACCACACACCCTGTACGCTGTGAAAAGTCACACAGCTTTTAAACTTAAAAAATAAGTGCATTTTGAGTTCATTGGAATTTTGAGTTCATCAAACTTGTAATATTAATACTAATAATTGTGCTTTACATGCTTTAACATATTATTTGAAGTTCGGTGACCTCAACATTTCAAGTTAACCTAACCACTTACTTTTTTAAGTTTAAAATCTACATCATTTTTTTTACAGTGCATTGCTGAGTGTGATTCTAAAACAGCTCAGCAGTAACAACTAAACTATGTGCGTCTAATTTAAACCTTTTGACTAGTGCTGCTTTTTCTACTTTCCAAAATAAACATTTTTCCAGTGGTTCTTCTATATAGAACAACTCAAAGAAGGATTTGTGGCTTTTTGTATGGTGAAACAGTTCTTCAGATTGATGGAGAATGTGTTGTAAATGGTTCTGTGTAGAACCATTTTGAAAATGGTTCTATATAGCACCAAAAAGGGGTCGGCTATTATGATGTCAAGCTTGTGTACAGCAGAAGAACCCTTTTCGATGCTATACAGAACCATTTTTACAACACAAAACAACACATTATTGATCAATCTGAAGAATCATTTCACCATGCAAAAAAGCATTTAAGCATGCAAGTTGTGTGTTCATGGTTCTATTTAGAACCACTGTCTTTACTGAAGAACCCTTGAAGAACCCATCCTTTTTAGGAATGTAGTTTAATTAGTTGAACATGACCATAATAAGTTGAATGCTGGAGTAATACGTACAAATTATCAGCGCAGCTAATTAGAATTTACTTCACACACTTTTGTGTCATTTAGTCAAATTCACAAAGTACGTTACTCAACTGAGCGTCTTAAAAGTTACTTAACATGGTTGTGTAGAAACACATTTTATGACCAATGTTTTATTTGTTTTGAGTGTGTAAGTAGGAGCCTGACTGCTTTTGAGCAAAAAAAGGTTCTATGTTGCTCTTCTAATGAGTTGCTGAGTTGGGTGAAGGGTCCTGACCTCCTGTTGAGTTAACTCCAGAAGAGCTGTAGAATGTGTATGTGTGCAACAATCAGACGCAATTCTCAAGTCTTTAGTAGAGATTTTTAGCTCAGCATCATTATTAGCTGAATGCTTTGCATCGTACAAAAGTAAACGCTGCTAAACGCCTGTCAGCTTCAAATATGAGCCTTTTATTATAAAAAATCCTTCAGTCTGAAGGACAGAACTGACGTGCTACATGCAATAAATGTTGTGGTTATAGGAAAGAGGCTAAACAGCTTGAAACATTTGGCTAAACTGTAGTTTATATAGCATGTAAGCTAAGCTACCTAGCAAAGCAACTAATCCAGCTGAAACTTTCATAGGTTTTAAAGGAATGTTAGTAAAATGTCAGCTAATTAGCTGACAGTTAGCTAGAACACTGGCTATTGAAATCTCGCTTCTTTCCTTTAAACATCACATTTACTGTTAGCGTCCATCATTCTGTCCATCATCTTCTAGAATGAAAGGCTTTTTATTTGAAGCTGAAGCTGCAGGACAGAACTGCTCATTAACTGCAGTGGACACTTTGCACTTTAAACTTAAAGCCTAGTGAGGCTTCCTCACTGCATAACTGAATACAACTGTATAACAATGACTGTACCATAATGCTTATTTGCAAAACTGTACATGTTTGCATCCTGCAATAAACTGTGAATAATATTTATTATTTGTTGCCTCACTCTGCTAGAAAAACCAACAAAGACCAGCTTAGCTGCTCACCAGCAAGACCAGCACATCATCACTGTTGGGATAAAACCTCAAATGTCCATTGTTGTTATTTTTTAACTTTTTGCCATAATTTGAAAACTCCAGCGACGCTTTGTATAGCATCAAAATTCAGTGTAAAATGGACAGACAGAAATGGTCCAAACTGGCATGATAAGTTAAGGATGTTGTTCATTATCCTGCAAAGTTATAATTTTGGAGACATACACATCCAGTATCTGACACAGTATCAATCACAAATACATTGTCCTCTGTTGAAATAACACAGCAGTCAAGGTCATCAGGCTCACTGTGAAGTAACTTCACCAAATGCCATTTATTCACCATTTAAACACAAAGCAGGAATTAAACCACAGAGTGGTTGTTTTTGATGTTTTGCTGGGCAGCCGTGACTGTCAGACTGAAAGCGCTGCCATCTCTCTAAGTCCTGATTCTCTGCGTGATGTGAGTGGTGTGGCAGTGCAAGCGCTACAGCTCAAACGTGCTGACCTTTCACAGATACAGCGTTTGTGCTGCCAAGCAGCGAGAAAGATATACAGACATTCCTGTTTACAGATAGATAAATGGTCACTTCAGGCACTCTGCTCAATAGAAACATAAATGTACATGGTATATTTGTTTATCCTGGACAGCATTCTGACTTCTGATTACACAAAAGTTTCAAGCCTGTAGACCAACCGGGAAATCTGTTCAGTATGTTACGTCATACATGAATGCATTTGCCAAGACTAAAGTTTGTATTCATTTATCAAATTAAGATTAGCAGCTCTAATTCAATCAGTTTTACTTGTATTTTCTTCTCAGGTTGAAATTTCACAAGTTGTAAGGTATCAAGCACAGAGTTGAGATGCGAGTCAATCTGAGTCCTCATTTCCCGTAATGAAACTAAATGTGATAATTTGTCACTAATGTCCTGATAGGAGCTGTTTATGTTGTTTCATCCCTGATTATCTACTAAAAGGCTGTTAGTGGTGCTGAAGCAGACGTACCTGAAGTGCAGCTGCTGCAGAGGAAAAGCAGGACGAGTGCGTGCTGGAGAGAAAACGCCATCTCTGCTCACAGTCACTCTCTGTCTGCCAGATACACTCGACAGGAAACCTCACTAACACCTTGTTCCACTTGTTGCAGCCGTCTGCCTGTCTTGATCTGACGTGTGAAGTCCTAACGCCTCCACCTTCTAAGCATACATTTACATTCTAATATTACCACCGTCCAAGTAAGCACAACTGAATACATTTACCTGACCCATTTTATCTCAGCATTTGTTACAAGTATTACTGATTAACTATCGCTAATAATAAAGTAAAAATTGGGGTAACACTTTATTTTGAGAGTGCTAGGAGATGCTTAACAGATGCTCCTTGTCTTCAACTAACTTTTTGCATATTGTTAAATGGCATCGAAAGCTGTGAGGTCTTTTACAACCAGTATGTATTTTACACACTGCCAAACACTGCAATGCCTTCTACAACCAGTAAGTATTTTAAACACTACCAAACATTGCGAGGCCTTCTACAACCAGTAAGTATTTTAAACACTACCAAACATTGCGAGGCCTTCTACAACCAGTAAGTATTTTAAACACTACCAAACACTGCGAGGCCTTCTACAAACCAGTAAGTATTTTAAACACTACCAAACACTGTATGGCCTTCTACAACCAGTAAGTATTTTAAACACTACCAAACACTGCGAGGGCTTCTACAACCAGTAAGTATTTTAAACACTACCAAACAGTGCGAGGCCTTCTACAACCAGTATGTATTTTAAACACTACCAAACACTGCAATACCTTCTACAACCAGCAAGTATTTTAAACACTACCAAACACTGCGAGGCCTTCTACAACCAGTATGTATTTTAAACACTACCAAACACTGCAATACCTTCTACAACCAGCAATATTTTAAACACTACCAAACACTTTGAGGCCATCTACAACCAGTATGTATTTTAAACACTACCAAACACTTTGAGGCCATCTACAACCAGTATGCATTTTAAACACTACCAAACACTGTGAGGGCTTCTACAACCAGTATGTCTTTTTAAACACTACCGAACACTGCAAGGCCTTCTATAACCAGTATGCATTGTTGAATACTACTGAGCCTTAACCTTCTGCACTTTTGTTTTTTTCTTCACTTACTTGGAAGAAACTGTGCTTAGTTCATGTAAATGTTCTGTTTCAGCTGTTTTTGTTGTCAGGATGTGAGAATACGACCTCATTCTCTTTGTTTACTGAGTAAGCTGTAGTCAGTTTGAAGCTCACAGAACACTGAGATCACTCACTATGGTTTACATGCCGATGAAATCTAGCAGTTTCCTGCTGCTCAGCATGAAGTCACAACACAAAACTGATTCTAGGTCACCAGGCCTGCCCCTATTAAGAACACAGTTCAGCACCTGTTTGGTCATTTCTGTGCTCTGAAGTAGCATCTTTGCACTCAAGTAAACAAACCTGCATTTTCCCTGCCAGTTTCACATCTGCATTATTTGCAGCTGTAATATTCCTTTCCAGAAACTGTGAAACATGAAGTCTTTGCTGTTTCGATGTACTTTCCTTTCAGGTATCAGCGTGTGATTCAACAGGCTGTTGGGATTTTCTTCTCATTTCTACGTCACAACAAAGTAGAGTGTCACCGATCACTAGAACAACCACATCCACCAGCCCTGCCTTCATAACTTCACCACCACCTCTGACGTTAACAATGTGGATTTCACAAACAACACCACTGCACACTGAATGTGCCATCATTGGATGCCAGGTTTCCACCGAGTCATGTTTTCAAGCCCTAGATTGTACAGGTACCTTAGTTACTGTATTTAAGATTAAATGATAACATGATGTGCCCCCTGGATGATTGTTTGCATCCCTTTTACAGCTGAAGATGGCAGTTCTTGGCCAAGCTCTTGAAAAATAATGCAATTAAGAAGCTACATGAGTGATGCTTCAACTCAAGAGCTTTTTTTACCTTTTTTTTAAGGAGCGATTAGCTATTTTTTTTTGTTTAAATCATTTCAAAATTAACTAAAATTACGAAAAGAATGTGAAGTATAACAGTTTTGATGTTATGTCATATTGTAGAGATACCTACTGAAGTTAGCAGGCTAACCTGCTAGCCTCCAGCTGTTCTGTCCTAGGACAGGAGGAAATAGTGAGTCACTGGCATCGAGTCTGTCATCAGTCAGCAAGAAAACACAAAGAAGTGACAAATTGACACAAAACAAGAGTTAGCATTGGCGCTGCTTTTCACCACTGGAGCTCTTATTAAATAAAGGGATGAAGTTGCTGAACTTGCAACATTTCTTCTAGACCGGTAAAAACAGGGAAAGCAGGGAAAGGAGCAAAGAGGGAGGAGAAGTGGAATATGAATCCGACAGGTTGCATCATCTTACAAATTGCTCCTGTAATCACACCAGCGATATAAAACTGCTAACTATGTAAGAGATAAGCAGACATTTCTTAGATATCTCTGACATGTCTGTACAACTAGGACAGTTAAGGCTAAATTTCTATGTATTTGCTTTGTAAGTAAGATAGTATTGTCAATAAACCACCATACACTCACAAAGAGAAACAAGAATGAATGTGATTTTCAACCCTGACCATTCATAAAGATCTTGCTGCATTCTGGTCAGTGGTTGGCACCTCTTCATGTTATCTGACATCGGTTAGAACAGAAAGCTTTGTACAGAGACCAAAAATTTGTGCAAGTGTAAAAATTCACTTGAACTTGTTTATATTGTAGCGACTTGCTACTGGCTGTCACTGGTTCCAAGCGGCTCGGAAAGCGTGGCCATGTGAGCAGCCATGCGTGGGGGCTCATGGTAGGTGTGCACTCTCTTAGAAAGAGAGTGCACTCTCTTTAGTGTGTCTAAATGTCACTGTGGTATTGTAAATATGTGTGATGTGTTATTTGTGTTGTTTTGTGTTCTGTGTTGGGGTTCAGGTTTCATTTGTGTTTTGTGCTGGGTGTTGGTCTTCCGTCAGGGTGAAGCCTGTGGCTGGTGGCGACCTCCTCCACAAGGTCAGTGCTCTGTATGTGTCTTTTTGCCCTCGTGTTTAATGAAGAACACTTCTTGTGGTGGAAATCATGGCCTCTCCTGTGTCTTACTCACCGATGATGCTACAATATGCATTATAGCACCGCTCTGCTATGGACACTATACAGTCTTACAATACTCTGATCCACTACAGCCACTTTTAGACAATACACAGCAGATGTGATAACAACCCCAGAACCAGACCCTGCATTTAATCTGGTCAGCCAATGAGAATCTTCTCATTTGAACACAGAATCACACAGAAATCAAGCCTTTCTTCACAGATGGGGAAATTCTAAGTTTAAACACACTACAAAAGCTGAATTAAACCATTTTTTTGCCCCACTCTTTCAAAGAACACAAATAAGTACATTAAACAGAGAAATAAAAGAGTAAAGTAGGTCTTTAAGGCCAGAACACATCGACCCTATGAACACCAACACATTCTAATATTGGAAGTTGTTGTAGAATGCGCTATTTATGCTTGTAGCACTGCTGTTCTTGCCGTAATTTCATTTTCACTCGAGTGTACTGACCATAGCAAACAGCACAAAGCTGTAACTTAAAACAATAACTTGAATAACTTGACCACTATAAATGGTGACAAACGACACTTCTGTTCCCCAACTGGATATTTCAGCCACAATCTGGAAACACAGTGGTCATGTGAAAACTAAATTGGACAGGGGTCAGAACATTCTAGAACAGTGTGAATGGAAGACAACATTCCTGAACAGTATGAATAGGGAGAAAACATTCCGAAATAGTGTGAAAAGGAGAACATTTTAGAATAGTGTGAATGGAAGGAACATTCTAGAGCAGTCAGAATGATTGAAAGCATCCTAGAAAAACAGGATGCTTTCAGTGGAGAACATTTTAGGACAATGTGGATAGAGGAGAACAGTCTGGAACATTTAGGAGAACATTCTATAAGACAGTTAAAAAGCATGTAGCACTTACTGAGCTGCATGAATATATATTTTTTATCAATTCAACCTTGTTGAGTGAAAATAAGTTAACACACTTAAATATGGCATTTTTCTAAAAATCGTAGTGCACAATTTTGGTTTATTTGCATGTTTTTAAACACATTTTTGATATATTGGAAATATAATTTGTGTCCTGATCCAATTTCCAATTTTAATATGCATTAATGTGTTTTTGTAGAGTATTTGTTATTTAGAAAATCAACAGAAACGGATTTTGACTGGGGTGCTGAAGCTTTTGGACACGACTGCATGTCTGCAAGTTGTTGACGTCAACTGTGCAGACTTGAATTAAGACTCTGGTGCTTAGGGCCAAATTTTGGACACGTTCAGTTTGTTAGAAAGGTTACAATCTCAAAGCTTCATTTATTCTATCGTGCTTTGCAGCAGTGGTGATGGGTTAAAAAACTATCGTAAAACAGTGTCTCACACATCAGGCAGTGTATTCACAAACATTTCCTGTAATAACTTTCTATGAGGGAGCTTTTAGAGGTGGACGTCTGGTTCCTATCACCACCACTGTGACCACTTGATTCAGTAAGTTTCTCTAGAACAGAACCTTTCACACCAAACCACACTGAATAACCCTGTTTACATCTTAACCACTTAATTATGCAAGAACTTTGCAAATTCAGTGAAATTACCCTTGAAGTGATTTACATTTCGGCTGGGTATAAAGCGTATAGTATTTTTGCTTGAAAGAAGACTTTAAAACAAATTAATAAAGAGTGAAAAATGAAGACAAAAATAAACTGAGCTGCTTTAAGATCAGCTCTGCAGCTCTAGTGGAGAGCAGCGCCCTCTGCTGATGAGCTGAAAAACACAAGGTAAGGCACCACAGCAGTTTGATTTATTTCATTTCAAACTGCTACATTTATTTTTTGCACAAACTAAATGTGTAAGTTATGTACAGACAAAAGGCCAGTTGTTTTTAACATTATCCCAAACGGCTTCGCACTCCCTAGTGTGCTAGCTATGAAAGTTTAGAAATTCTAGCCTCTACAGCCAAATAGAGCATCATTTGTTGAATATGGATGTTGCTGAATCCTAAATGACTTTTTTTTTAGCTATAT